CTGCGGCACAATAGCTATGTGTTTCCTACCTCTAGCTAACGTGTACAATGAATGATGAGATCTGTTAGTTTATTGCATTATCTGCATACCTGCTGAAAACGACTGAAGAATAGTGACTCCAGAATGTTTTAATCAGAGCGATATACCCGATATATGCGGTTTGACTTTAACCGATTGTGGAGCCCAGACGGGCGACCTTTATCACTATTGCGCCCCGCCACTTATAACCGATTTTTTTGCTGTAGATCCTGATTCGACATGGCTAACTTGTTAGCACATTTGGCAGGCAGTCGTCCTGTCTTGTATTTGCATTGCAGCTTCCTGCACTATTACGCCACTGTAACTAAGGTACTAATGAGAACTGGCGTCTTGGCTCATTTTGTCAACAGCACTTAGAACTTTGTGCGGGCTTTGCGCATGCCAAAGCCTGCATGGCAGTTGGACCACGCCTTAACAGCGATGTCTTGTGCCCACCAGAAACTTCGACTAAGTGGATGCATTGAATGTGACTCTTACGATAATTCCAACCAAAAGGTTAAAGTAAACCGACCCAGATGCACCCCATGTGCCGTATTGGGCCCGAAACTATTTAGCGTCGACCACTTCATGGCTCTTTGGGTCCTAGTATGCACTTCTGAGAACAGCAAATTTTCCTCGATATACCATTCAAAGATGAGTATTGTCACGGCTGGGTGCTCGACTACATTAGCAATGGCTTTTAGGATTTAAAAGACTGGTGCACATATTACTGCCGGCAATATGGATTTTGTACAGCAGTTATCTTGGAGCAGCTTATAAACATCGATAAATACTCGTGAACTAAATGACAAAACCCAATCGTTCTGATAATGTAAACACTAGATAAATCACAAGGACACTGAGCGTGAGGAACAGGAGAAACGGTGCGAATGATAAATTGACTTGTCCATCAGGGATGGAAAACCTCAGTGAAGCAACCTTTTAAGGTGGAGCTTAACTCTTCGAGTATTTTTGTTTCTTCATCGGCAACAGTGCATACGTCATGCTTTCAGTATTCTAACTTGCGTACACCCCTTCCCGGCTGTCCGGTAACCAAGGTATTACAACATCGCATCGACATGATTCTGTTATCTGGGTGCATGAGAACCGCGCAGCAGCACCTGGGACATGGAAGACCTAGCTGTCCTTGGACCAGCCCCAGCTTATACGGCAACGCTATTATACAGGCTAAAGCTTAGTCATGCACATTTTTGCACGTGCTTTGCACTTTCGAAGCTCAAAGTACCCCTACACGACTTGGCCGACTTCCGTCCAGTTCTACTGTCATCACTCGAAGCGCCCAATTAATTCACCTATCTGACCAGTTGTATCACCTGCGGCAGTCATATAACTAACGACGCTACGACATGTAGCTTTTAAAATCCTCGGTTAATTACAGAGGGGGCGGGATGTAATCCTGGTGGTTAAAGAGCTGATTTACATTGCACCAGAGATCTAACCGCTGCTCATTCGACCGCTTTTCATCGCCGATTGCCTTGAATTTTTACTCATTTTGATGGGGCACCAGTAAGCATCGTTGTTTCGTATTTGGAAACAGGTTTCATTGCAATACCTTTCATAGCTTTGTCGTGCGCCCCACTTACCCAATAGCCGACAGCTTCGAAGTGCGTTGTTTGGCATTGTTGCTCCTAATTTGGTGAACTTCCGAAGTGTCCAGTCAGTGACGGGATAAAGAAGTCCGAAGTACTTACCAAAAAGCTTAGTCGGATTGCTTGGATGATGAGGTCGCACCGGGTTGGCTACGTCATCTTTTATAGCACTGTCACGAAGTTATTGGAGCTCTTATATTGCTTCATCGAATTCTAATTTTATTATTGCGTCTGATGGTTTGATTTCTTACCCACATACCTTGAATTCTTACTCTTATCAGTCTTGTGGTTAGTAATTCTGCAATCTATGTCAACTCATCTGGGCTACCGCACTTCGGCACACGAATTGTGGCCCATACACCGGATTGGGTTAAACCGACCTTTCGGTCGGGCATCTATTTCAAGTCCGGCATATAAAGGTGACATTGTTATGAGGAAACCGTGCGTTCCCACCAAGCCGTTTGAGCTATACCCATTAACCGATAGACCGTTATACGCCAAGTAACATGTCCGTGCACATGCTCTCACCTGATTCCGTACTGCTAGCGAACAAGTCACAGCCGCGTTAATTACGCTTCAGCTTTCTCAAATGCCCGATGCACCTTGTTGCCATGTAACAGGTTACGTGTTTGCGTTGACGTTTACCTGCACCTAAAGTTATCCGGTCATTTGTGCTATAAATACTGTTAATCTTTTAGCTTAACCAGTTAAAACACTCCCACTATAGGTACAGTCAAATCTGTTTAAGGCGGCCACTCAAGGGACCGACAGGTGGTCGCCATAGACAGGTTCATCTATAGGGACCTTACTCATAGGAGAAAACGTTGGGATTTTTGGCTGGTCGCCATTGGCAGGTGGTCGTCATAGCACGCTGGACTGTATTCACTATCTTTTTCTGATTTACGATTCACAGGAATTTCGTTTTCATGTTGTTTGAGGGCCTACTTTAGTGGACAGCGGTCTTTTTCTTTGGTTGTGCTTCGCACGCAGTAATAGATCTGCATTTTGTTTAACTAGTCTATGCAGAGGGAACCGCGCGAAGCGGACATGTGGTTTGTTCGAATAGAAGTGGTATGGCGGACCCCCATGACATTTCCGTCCTGATTCGGACGGATTTATATATTTGTAATGCGTGATGCGCCACGAGTCCAAGCACAAGTGGGTCTTTGGACCAGACCCAACTGCGTGTGAGCCAAATCGTCACAGGTATTGTAGCGAGAACGACACGGTAGGGGAGAACGCTGTTTATTGCACGCTGAGAGGTTCACACACGTCCCACGCACACACAGAAATATAGCCCCGTTTCCCACTTACGACGCACCACATTCCGCCGAGTGAAGTGGTGTCCACTAAGCGCCATTAGGCTGATCCGACGTGGACATTGAATGTGCCGTTTTCCGCCCACATTTCTGCCCCATTGCATCGCAGCCTATCCAGACTGGATTCGTACCAAAGCTCTCGACTTGCTTGCTCGGGGCTGTGTTGCTCTGGTCGGGCCGATTCCTGGGGCTGTAGATAAAGACATATCTCTTGGGAAAATCGGGCTCCCTTTCATGTCGCCTCTTGTTCTTCTCGGCGTGGCCGCGATATCGTTTGTCGCTGACGACCCATTCCCGGCTTGCATCGTAGTCCACGAGCTGGGTCTCCGCGTTAGTCCCGATCTCCTGCTGCTTCCGGGGCATTTCCGTGTGAACTGAGATCCGCGCCCCTACAGTATGAGTGTTGGTATTAGGTTGGCAATCAATTTATTGTGGTCTTTTAGTATTTTTTACTTTAACAGCTCTGTTCTTGAATATTTTTTCATACGTTACCTTGATCTTCTAGATCATTTTGAAGCCTGTTTTGCACTCTTTCAGAAATAGTGATAGTTTAGCCCAAGAAAAACGTTTTCACGTCCTTCTAGCACACTTAATGCAACATGGACAGAAGATAACTTCACACAGTTTGCACCAATTTAAATTTCGCCGAAATGCAGCGGTACAGCCCATGACATTAACAGTGCATTTGGTTCTGGAACTAATAACCGTGCTGCACAACGGTGGTTTCAGAAATTTCGTAAACGTTACTGAGAGCTTGAAGATAAAGGGCGTTGTGGATGGTCATTAAAAGTCAACAACAATCGATTAAAGGCTTTAGTTACAGCGGATCCGAGCAAATCTATTCCAGATGCTGCTGAATTAGCAGTATCACGTGACCGTTTGGAATGTCGAAAAATCTTGATAAATTCTTGCCGCACGAATTGGATGAAAAGTTGGGAAATTGTCATTTTGTAACGTCGTCTACTCTTCTTCTGCGCAAAAAAAGACCAGTTTCTCGACTGGATTTTGACTTCTGATGACAAGTGGATCCTTTATGACAATCGACGACTAACCTCTCCATGTTTTGACCACGATCAAACTTCACAACACTTTCCAGTTCCGAAATTGCACCCAAATGGGTAACTGGTGGTCTGAGGCTGGTCTGATGCGTCACAGCTTTCTGAATACAGGGGAAATCATTACAGCGGAAAACTGTTATCAACAAGTGCACAGAAATCTTCAACACAGGTTCCCGGTCTCACGTCGCACAAATAATCCTGCGGAAGCTGCATGAGCTGCGCTACGGAACTTTGCCTCACTCACCATGCTCCCCTGACTTCTCACTTACCGAGTACTACTTTTTCAAGCACCTGGATAACTTCCTCCTGGCAAAAAACTTTAAAAACCCAAGGAGAGGCTGAAACCGCCTTCGACTATTTCATCGCATTTAAAGTTTAAGATTAAAAACCGCAATAACTTTATTACAACCTAATACTTGAAACGGTTTCTGCACCGCCTCCTTTCACTTATGCTGGGACGTAATACTGATGTTATGGTTGACTCTAATCTAGTTGACGCCAGAGAACACGGCCTTAACAGTTGATAAAATAGCACTTGTAGTTCAAATGACTCCAACACGTGTGTCCCGTATGATGGAAGCTCGATAAGCGGTCGAGCAGTTCTCTGGTCTCAGCTTCACTATCTGTCTCTAGCGAATGCTTGTGAAGTCATTTTCACTTAACTTCCATCTAGTCGCAATCCACTGTACTAAATCCTACAAATGGTACCTGAAAGTCATACAACTCGGCACTTCAAAATTCAACTTGGTCCTTTTTCATAAGCTTGCTCTGCAGTCTAGGCTGAAACCTTAGCGCTGCGACCACCGAAGATTGCGAATGCCTTGTTTCACAGTCGTGATCCATTGCTTGATAACACTTTTGTCACAAATATTAGCATTACGGTTGCCAGGTGAGCAATGCTTTCTTTAACATAGGCTCTGACAATGCAGTTATCTTCCACCTACCTTTCTTTTCACCCGATGAAACAAACACATTGGTTTCTTTCCTACCTTTAGTTTGCTCAAATGCAAGGAAAGCGGATTACGCCATGCTCTGAGATTACTGCTAGATCTGTTTGTAAAACTTGTTTGCGGCGAAGGCAAAGTTGATATAGTGAGCAAGTTACTACCGGACTTGATGAAGGTTGGTTTTTGGCCCTTTCTGTAGTCATACTTTTCTCTCTAGCACTTTAATGATAATCACTCTTTCGAATCGAACCTTCTGGACATATTTTGGTTCCTCGGTACTTTTTAGTTTTGCGCTCATCCCCTTATTTCATTAGACACAGGCGTTTGTGATACTCAATCAGAAGCAGTCAAGGATCGATACTTTCGCCTGCTCCATTTGTGCAAGTCCCACATCAATTCCGCGTTGTTAATGGAAAGGCTGTCTGAAGATACTCTGGAAAACCTTTCTATGATTCAGTCCAAACAGCAATTTCAGACAAGATATGTCCGAACAAAAACACGTTTATTCTTCAAGCAGCAAAAGTTTAACCTTATGAGGGAGGAGAACGAAGGATACGCAAAACTGATAACAGAGTTATCTCAGACAACTGGACCCATAGAGGCGTTAATGACTCAAGTCAGATCTCTAATAGGCTATTTCGATCTGGATCCAAATCGAGTACTTGATTTGATCCTGGATGTTTGCGAATTTCGTGTATCCATGAATCTGGATTTCATCAAACTCATCCGCCTGTATAACCCCGATAAACTCGATCTGACGCATATACTCGGACATAAATTTCACTTCACTCAGGTAGGCGACGTACATACATGTCACAAATTTTTCATTACTTTGTTTTCGATCAACTTCCTTACGCTTCGTTTGAACTGCATTGCGGCATCTGACGACGATGTGAGCATTCGCATCGTTTGCAACACCACCGGTCCTTTCATGCAGTCATAACCACCATGCATATGATAACATGAGTTCAGCTGCGTTCATGAGGCACGGCCTGCTGCACATCATTTCTAGCGTCCTTATGTGCGCAGTGACGAGTAACTTACTTTACCTTAGATTAAGATAATAGTATTCCTCAACTGGTGGCCATTCTTTAATTGTTGATGTTCAATTTTGTTGAAATGGAACTTTTGCAGTGAGTGACGTGATGATTTTCCCTTGACAGAGTTTGCTCGTGTTTGAACGAATATAGGAGGAAGAGTAACATTTCCGTTTTGGGCGATTCGATCCTTATGGCCATGCTGAACTTAAGCAGTCGTGACCATTTTGCCAACCACAGCTATTGATTTGCAGTTGGTAATGATGGAATCAGTTAATTTTATTTCAACCTGCTGCTCTACCACATTCTATATGCCCCGAACTTCTCCTATTCGGCTTTCTCGCATTTCTGCCCATGTATGCATGAGCCAGGTATCCGCAAAAGCTTTTACCTCTTCAGCTGCACTGTCTAGCCTGTCACTTTTGGAAAAGTACACCGGCTTTCCTTTTGCCTACCACTCTTCGCATTGCCCCCGAAATTCTTTCTGCTAATGAAATTTCTATGTCTACGCACCCTCGTAATGGATTACGCACTTTTTTGTACCTGGCGTTTCGTGACTCTCCTTTAATTTCCGCTATTTAATAACTTCCCCATTACTTTGATCGAATATTGTCTTTTTGCGCACGGAGTCCACGCGTTGTAAAACAGTTGAGGCGGTTTCTGCATGAAGGAATATTGACATTTCGCTATAATCGCCGGCCCGAGCCTAAAGGTAACGAGTTTGTGTTGTAGTCTGACGGCGCGAGCAGGGCGACCCTCGCGGTATCCTTAGCCCACGTGCTACCGGTGGTGGTTACGCGGCAGCGAAGCGTTGATACTGCGTATATTCGTACTGCTGATGCCTTTCTTCTTCCTGCCTTTATTTGGCTATAATCGGGCATACTACCTATGTCTACTGCTTCATGAGGAGGTTGCGTGCAGTTGTTCCGGAACACCGGCAACTCGTCACAGTCACCGACATCCGTCTTTAAAAGTGCATGTATTACACATTTTTTGGCGCCGTCAAAGTCTCAGCGACTGATCTGATTGTCTATAGATGACCGGTGTTAGCGATCTCAAATCACCACCACCATCACCAGTACCTTCCATGTCAATACGTTTGTTGAGTCAGCCGCACATTTCCTTTCGCTGTACTAATCAAGGCGACAGTTCATTAAGTAACTCTTATTTCTATCTGAATATCACTTCGCCGCGAGGTGTTTCGGTCTTGCTCCTCCCAAAATGGACACCCCATGACCGGTTCCGTCCTCCTTTGAACTCACCAGATGGAGATAGCCTGAAATGGGGTTGAACTCACTGCACCGCACTTCGCTGCTACTTGCATCCTCTTTCGCTATTAAATGTGCATGTTTACTTAGCCTGACAGCTCTTGTTGTATTTGAAGCTATTGTCTTCATTACTACACCAATCCATTTCTTCAAGACCTTATTTGGACTGACTGCTTCCCGGGCAATCCTAAGCTTGTTCTAAGCAACCAAGTACATGTATGCTTCATTTGACAGGATTTTTGAAGCTTCTAGTTTTTCAAATTTTCGGCAGAAGAAGCTTTTGCTTTGTATACTCACTATGTAAATGGTAGCAATATCATGAAAAATTATCTTGGTGCCCTTCATATGATCCAGAGCATTGTTGAGTGGCCACAACTTGTAAGCCGAGGAATATAAATGCCAGCTCATTCCAACCACGGGTACAAAAATGGGCTAACTGGAGCAATGTCTGAGAAAAACGAGTCTTTTTACATGGCGTAGACCGCTTGCGGAGGATTTGGCAACGCAACTCAGCGGGCTGGCTGCAGCCTTCGTTTCCTGAGTCATCTGAACTGACTAACATTTGTACTTTCGCTTTCGGTGAACACCAGCGTTAATGGATGTCTTTACTCAATGAACCTACTTCATTGCTAGTCAGGAATGGGGCCGACTCACCGGTCATTATCCTTTGCTTATCTTGAGACTATATGACACGTTCAAGGGGCGTCGATAGATCCAGTTTACTTTCGGACTGCTCTGAAGTTTCGTTGGCTATTTTCTTGTTCATACAAGATTTCGCACTTTCCAGTTACAAAGCCTGTCGCAACGAGACTTTACATTACCGTGGTGCGACGCTTTGCGTACCTCCTTGACCCATTGAGCTATACTGGGTGGTGCTTCCGGGCCCCTTAAGTGCTACTCCTATCAGCTTGGTCAATGGTTAGAGGCCAGACAAACTCAGTCTCCTGGCCCTCCAGGTTGGGGTTTGAAATGAGATGGCGTCCATTTCTGTAAAAATAAATCATTGCCACCTCCCCGCTGCCTTGCGGACAAGTTTTTGAGCCAAAGGCTTTGGACGAGGACCCTAATCGTCCTCCTGTCCAGGTCTGGGCGCCACGGCAGTATCTCAGCCTACATACAACCATGACAATTTTCGCAAACTCTAACTACATCCGGCATCGGCTGTCGTGCAGATTATCAAAGGTCGCCTTATCTGCTGCTTACATCTGGGCGGATAACCGAAAACATGTTACTGCTGGCACCTTTCTTTTCCACCTGTTTCTCTTACTCCCATCCCGACTTCCATCACTAACCTTTCTTCTATAATTCTCCTTTTAATTGAAAGCAACAAAAATGACACTGGAGTAGAACCATCTGCAGCCACAGCGGCACAGTAGTGTTTCCCGCCTCTAGCTAACTTGTATAATGATGATGTATCTGCAGCCACCTTCTCGCAACACCCATCGGATGCCTATTGGCAACAGTCCGTACTAAGGCCACGCTCACCGTTTCCATGGCGGCGTTCAACGTTCGCACTCTAGGACAAATTGCTCAACAGACTGCACTCGCACGTACTTTGGACGCACTGGGTATTGACGTATGTTGTGTATCTGAAACAAGGATCAATGACCCTAACGAGGTTGTTGAATTAACTGCACCCGTATTGTCCTTTCATTATAGGTTGCGCGCATACTTAGACGCCGATGCGGCACTCACGGGTCAAGCTGGTGTAGGTATCATTCTCAGCTCCAAGGCTGAGTCATCGTTGGTTGATTGGATTCCGGTGAACAGCCGTTTATGTGCAGCCCGTTTGACGACATCTGCTAAGGTGAATTCGGGAAGTAAAACAAAACGCTGTTTGTTTGTGATTTCTGCTTATGCTCCCACCGACTGCAGTTCTAATGCAGTCAAGGACACTTTCTATCACGAACTGAACGCCCTACTACGCAGTGCTACTAGTTCAGATATTATAGTACTTGCAGGGGATATGAACGCACAAGTAGGGCGTCTGAGCTCTTCAGAAGCTCAGCTGGATGGTAAGTATGGACTTAGCTCTGAACGGACTGACAACGGCGAGCGTCTGCTGCAACTGTGTGCGGGGCACGAGTTGTTTCTTAGTAGCACTGCTTTTAGACACAGTGGGCGTCGAAGTGCCACTTGGCGTCCTCCTGTAGCTGGCCAGCTGTGTACCCATATAGATCACATAGCCATAAGTTACAGGTGGCGTGGTTCCATCCTGGATTGCCACTCGTACTGGAATACTTGCGTCGACTCTGATCATGCCTTGCTATGCTGTCGTTTCTCCATGAACTTTACCGGGAAGCGCACCTAACGTCCCATCCGATTAGCAACGGAGAAATTGTCTCAGCCCTCTGTCAGGCAAGCCTAACAAGACGCACTATGTACCCAACTCTCACTGTCTTGTCCTAATGACACAGCTTCAGTGGAATAGGATCTCGACCGCCATGCACGACGCAGGAGCATCTGCTTGTGGCATTATCAATCGTCACCGCACCATTCGCTGGATATCCGAGAGGTCGGTGAACCTGTTGGAATCCAGATGAAACCTCCCGACTGGCTCTGAGTTCAATGTGACCAGACGGGCTATTCGGCGCGAACTAAAGCGGAGCGTACGTGCTGACAAGGAAGCCTGGTGGACCAGTCGGGCTCAAGAAATGGAGGAGGCAGGAGCAGTAGACAATTACCGCATGCTCTTCCAGCTGATTCGCCCTGCTGGTTCCAGGAAACCAGGCGTCTGTGAGACAATCAGAGACAGCGCGGGTGCACTGATGCACAGTAAGGAGCGCCGGATGGATTGTTGGGCGGAACACTTTGAAGATCAGTTCAGCTGGCCCCCTGCTCCCGGACCTTTTCCTACTCAGGTGGTGCAGGACAAGCCATGGACGGTAAGTTCAGAGCCTCCGTCGGAGGCCGAGGTCCGAAACGTGATCACAGCTCTCAATCGTTTTCGTGCCGCTGTCCCAGATTCCCTCCCACCTGCACTATCTAACGATGGAGGTGAGGTCCTCTGCAGAGCACTGACCTCCCTATGCGAACGTATCTGGAAGAAAATGTCCCGGCTAATTGGAGCGTATCGATTATAGTGGTAATATACAAGAAGGGCAGTCGCACAGACTGTGCGAAGCACAGGGGTATTAGTCTAACGCCAGTTGTGACAAAAGTATTGGCCTCGATTCTCGTTCGTCGCCTCACTGTGGAACGAGAATCTCGGATTAGAGAAGAGCAGGCAGGTTTCCGCCCAGGACGTGACTGTATAGACCATATATTCACTCTGCGGCAGTTACGAGAGCAACGTCATGCATACCGCAGACCGACAGTGGCTGTGTTCCTCGAATTCAAAAGTGCGTTGGTTTCAGTCAATCATTCCATTTTGTTCCGACTACTTGTGCGGAAAGATGTCCCCACGTAATATGTGGACATCCTACGTGCTTTATATTTAAACACTACAGGCCGCGTCAGTGTCTGCGATGACCTGTCGAATAACTTTC